GAGGGGATGATGGTTGTTTGCATCTGGTCACACCCCCTTCAGGGTGGGGGTCCCCACTGGGGTGCCTGGCCAGTCTGGGTGAGGGGCTGAGGGCCATTTTCAGGCTGGCAAGTGACTGAAGCTCCCAACCTGTCCTTTTCTCCTTTTTTTTAATTCTAGGCCACCAGCTTTAGCTCTGAGGCTCGGCTCCAGCTATGAGACCTCCGCTGCTGAAAGCAGATTTCTGGCCTTTGTTTACCCTTCTCTATTTGAAACAATGTTGCGGTCCTGCTGGCTGAAGCCCCCGGTTTTGTTTAGCTTCTGTATGTGTTACAATGTTGCTTAGAGTGCAGCTGAGACAGGAAGCAGCCAAAATACAAGTCACAAAGGCCCCACCTAAAGGTTTCGGTACTGTGTTCATTCAGACATACCTTCTTTTACCCATATCTCAATGCCAACAAACTTGGTTATCTAATGTTCCAGTAGCACTAGGAATAGAGATACAGTGAGAGCAGTGCAAAGTGATAAAAATAAAAATATAAAACAGACATAGACATGCACAAAGCAATCCGGGAGCAATTATGGCAGAAACGTCCCTGAGCAACTCAATATATTTCTGAAAGTCTGATAGTTCACTGTAACATCTCGGAGTTAAAGTGCTCTGAACACGGACTGGTTGGTTGAGGGAGTGAGAAAAAATGATCACAAATGTTTATAACAAAAAAGTGAGAGAGCTTAAAGAGAACATCCCCAGTTATCCAGGGCAAGTGAAGCCTGTGAGTTCCACCGAGCTGGAGTTTCACTATGTTAATAGGATTTTATGGTTGGCTGCATCGACCAATACAAATCTGGAGAACAATCTGGAAGGAAATGATTAATGACTGCTTCTTTCCAGGGAAGTTTAAAAATAAGTTACCGTAGGCATGTCAGAATCAGCACTAACACAGCAATTGCTACTAAACGCAGCCAGGCTGTGGCTGTGACTTTGGCTGTAATCCATATTCCAAGCAGGATGTAGGTACTTTGTAGGTAGCTGGGCCCTGTGAGCTATTAGGGTAAAGTCAGTAGGTCCCATTCCATCACACGAAATACACTGTGAACCGAATAAATATTTACTCTCGGTCATTCGTACTTGCCTCTTGTGCTTCTGACTTCGAAAGCCAGGCTAGGGAGACAAGCAAGAAACTGATTATGTTTATCTGTGGAACAAAGATTATGCAAACTGCCAGCACCCCACTGTTTTTGTTTTCAGCATGGTTATCGCAAAACAAAAACAAAAAGATAGCCTCTGTGTCTGAAGCCTGATTATTTGAAAACAGACCTGAATATTTCCTCCGCTTTCAATAAGGCAGTACCCGCCTTCATGTCACTTATCTAGAAGATACTTATTTGCTGATAGGGACTAGTTACTATTTCTAGATGAGAGCTTGACCGAGTCTCTCTGAGGAAGCGGTTTCCTGAGTTAGTCTAGAAGCCTCCCCCCTGCTTTAACATTTACCAAAAGCCCAAGAAAACATTTTTTTTTTTAAATTCTACACACCCTAAGGGCTAAGAAGAGAAAAATATCATCACAATCTTGGTTAATGGCCCCTTAGCACTCTGATCTCTCCAAGCTTCTATTTGTCTTTTGTTTGTTCCTTTTTATTTTAAATAACCTTACTGGCTGCTTTCTCCTGATCACAGAAGCAATACATGGTCATTATCACAGTTCAAACAATTCGAAGATGTATGAAGTATAATTAATAATCCCTCTCTCTCTCTCACCCTCTCACATCCCTCCCAAGGAAACCAATGTTAACAGCTTGGTGTAGATGCTTTCTTACTTCTTCCTAGGCTTGCATAAACATACATAACATAAAGGTTGTGGGTATTTTGTTTTTTGGGGGAGAGGGGTATTTTCAGGTATATATATAT